CAGCAGAGCTGTTTGTGTACTACTTCGTGAACAAACAAGGAAACTGCTCTAATACAACAAAATAGAGATGTGCTCTTCGTTTTCTTCTGCCAATTCACTTGACTTGTGTGATTCTTCACACAGCTATGTAAATAACTCCTTGGCAGAGAACAGAATGGCAGGTGGAAGCAGGAAAAAACAGGCGGATGGGGTGGATGGCACTGTCTGAGCCACGCTGTTGCTTACCACAAAGCCACAGACTGAGATGATACTTTACTGACACAAAACTGCATGTTACCCCTCTATCATCATGGCAGCAGAGCTGTTAGACCAGTACAGAGAATCTTACACCTTGGGTCAAATCATTTCAATACTGAAGATAAACCATGAACTGAAGTGGCACACAGGCAAATTTCAGGACATTGCTGAGCTGCAGCTCACCACTACCATCAGGATGATATCTTGTTTCTCTGCCATCTTTCACTCCTGGCTGCAGCATCCTTTCTGGTGGTCATCAGAGAATTTGCATTTGTCTGGTTTTGCCCATTAGCTAAAGACAAAGACTCAAGTTACTTCGTTCATGATATATTTTCTTCTTGGTTAGTGAGCTGAACTGGCTCATTGAGAGGGTTTTGAAAAGTAAAGCCCATGGAAGAGCAGTGGTGGAAAACCAGAATTAGCTACATGAAGAAGGTTTGGAAAGGGGGGTGGGCGAGATATCCTTCCTTTAGTACCACTGAGCTGTCAGATCAACTCAGCTGTCTTGTCTTCTGATTCAGATACATCTTCCATTTTTATGCAGGTTGTTAGCTCTAGCAGATGGATAACGTATTTAGGTTTTATCCATATCATCTTGAACTTCTGCAGCAAGATTTAAATGTGTGAGCTGTTCCTTGCTTTCAGAGTATGAGTCAGCCAAAGGTTTGACCCATTAATCTTTGAAAAGTGAGAGGGGGGGAAAAGACTGCAGCCTTTTCTGGCTCTTGTACTCCCATTACACAAAAGGGATGTTACATTTTTCCATGCAGATGCTTTTCCAGTTGGTTTTTAATGCTGCTGTCTTCATAAGGCAAAAAACTATCCTAGCTGTCAGACTTAAAAACTTGACTGGTGTTCTGGAAATCCAGCCATGTTTTCAGACTCTTAATAAAAATACCAGTAAAACAACCTCTGTAATTGGGGATGGACTGACAGGGCTATTGACAATACACAGAGCAGAACAGAATCCACCTCTGTTGCTATGGCTGTGTTTTCCTGTCGAGCTAATACAATTTTGAAAATTACTTTTTTCCAGTTAATTCAGTAATTCTGATCTATAGACACATAAAACCCAGTTAATAACAATAAGAAACACTTTTTACAGAGCAGATCCTGGTATAAGGTAATTTAGCTGTGGGGCTATCTCTGCACAGAAGTAAAATAACTGCTACCTAAGGCAGTGTAGCACTGGGGCAGCACAAAGGTCAGGGCCGCTCTGTTAATGCAGGAGCTCTAAAAAGCCAGACTCAGATGTTTCACTGAGTACACAGGAGAAGTTGGAAGAAAACAGGTATTGCCTGGGCAAAATACCTCTCCACGTCAGTGGGAATAAGAAGCTTGTTATCCAGGCCTCTACTCCTTATATATTACTCACTACTCCATATATCCTCCTTTCCCAGCACAGCACAGCCCCTTCATCTTTAAGATGGCAAAATTAAGGGCTACCCACACAGTTAGAAACCCTGAGCTAATTTTAAGGCTCTTTAGAATGCCACTATCTCTTACATTCTTTCTTACATATTGTCTACTGCCTACTCTTGGAGACAAAAGTTCTCAGCTGCCTGGAGCAGCTGGTTGCCAAAATCTCCACTAGAAGGCAGAAGGTATGTGGAGTACCTGAAGCTTATCAAGGACGACAGATGCCGTGGGACATGTCTTGCTGGACCTGCCACAAACAAAAATGAGCAGGTCAAAGATATGGCTGCAGCAAACACAAGACTGTAGAGTTGAAAATCTTGAGAGAAATGAGGAAGGCAAGTAGTAGACTCACAACCCTGGACTTCAGGAAAGCAGGTTTTGGCCTACTTGGGAATCTTTTTGGCAGGATCCAATTAGTATGGGTCTCAGGACAGCTGGTTGATCTTCAAGGAGAAGCTCCTCTAAGAGCAGTCTGTTCCAATGTGTAGAGAACCAAGCAAGCATGGCAGGAGACCAGCACGGATGGATAAGGGACTCCCAGCTGAGCTCCAACACCGAAAGGAAGTGTATGGAAAGTGGAAGCACAGATGGACTGCCCAAGAAAGCAGAGACATTGCTTCAGCGCGTAGGGCTGGTGTTAGGAAAGCCAGAGCTCGTCTGGGAGATGAAATCAGAAAGGTTACCAGGAAAGGCTTCTGTAGGTACAGTGGCAGCAAAAGGAAGGCTGAGGAACACACAGATCTGCTGCTCCGTGGAGCAGGGCGCAGATACAGTCACAAAGGACATGGAAAACGCAAAGGACACAAACTGAAGCATGCAAATTTCTGACTAATTACAACTTAAAAAAATATTACCATGAGGGTAATTAAACCCTGAACACAGAAGACCACAGTGGCTGCAAAATAACTTGCGTTGAAAGAATTCATAACTGGACTCAATGACACCTTGAGGAACTGGCTGTAACCGGCGCTACTTTGAGCAGGGGTTAGAGATGATGAGCTTTGGAGGTTCTTTCCAACCTCCATGATCCCATGATTCTGTGAAGAAGCTTGCCTGGTAGAGAATGAATGAAAAGTGTGAGACTGGTTTACTTTCAACCCATATATATGAATAGTATTTCAATGTCCTGGAATTATCCAGAAATATTGTAGTATGCATTAAAAAAAACCCCAACAAATCAAACCAGACTATCTATTAAGACCCCGTGTCTTTGATGCATTCCAGAGTTTTTTTGACATTTATTATTGCAATCCTATGATAACTCATATTTGGCAGAATCTTTGCATATATACTAAATACAGCCTCCCAACTACCTACCATGTGTTTTAAAAATACCATTAATTCACTACTCAAAACTGACTGCAGGTTTAAAAAAAAAATGTTCTCCTCTATATACTATATCAAGGGCCCTATTACTTCTTAGTAAATATGCGTATGGTATTTATATAGCAGTATTATACTAATTAAACAAATAACGAACTATATTTTTTATAGTACCCCTCTGAGATATAAGAAATGCTTCTTGCATAGCACTCTTGAGAAACTGAGGCAGAGAAAAGCATGAAGGCTTTCCAAAGAGAATCTCAGCAGAGCACAAACTGTAGGAAATTCCCCAAACTTCTGTTTAACCACACAACTAATTCTTTAAATAGAAGCTAGATGAAATATATGAATATATGAAATAGATGTACTATCTAGATGCACTATTGCATTTGGAAACTGGGCTCCCCTGATACACCATCCTTTCATGTCTTCCAAGAAAGCAAAAGAAAAGCAAGTGATTTAGACTCAAGAATGTCTTCAGAGGGAAGCAGGGAAGTTCCCCAGCATCCAGAAGAGAGGGGAAGGCATAGACCTGCCAAGACACAGCAGTTTGTAAGGAAAAGGAATGAATTGATTCTGGAAGTGCGTGAGGAGCCTTTCTGAAAGCTGGCCATGAAGCACAGGCTAGCTGAGGCTTCCACTTTCCTCGTGAGCTGGTGCAACATGGTGGGGTTGAACGTGCAGCTCAGCTGGCTATCTGGAACATGTCAGCTGGCAGCTGCAGGACAAAGGGGAGCTGTCCTCTCCCCAGTAGCTCAAGGGCACCCACAGAATGAAGTTAAAAATTCTCTCTGCTCAAAACTTTGTACCTGCACTTCTTTCAACAAATCTGCAGTACAGTCATGATATAGTCCTAATGACAAGACATCAATCTAAAAAAATTCCTGCTGTATTTTAGAAACAAGCCTGTATATATTCCCACAAACACTTCTATCAAAACCTCAGTCTTACAGCACAGACCTATGCAGGGCCTTTACCTGTGAACTACCACCTTTTGCTGCATGTTGTGTAATGCTTCAATGGAGCCTACAGTTCTGCAGAACAGACTGTTTATAGCAAAAAACACTGTAGTACACACACCATTTGAAGTATATCTCTTCTTTATCTCTGAAGTTCATGCGAGATTAAATTTTATATACAAGGCACGGCTCACTTCTGTCATTTTCCTCAAAGCTTTTTTGAGACTGGAATGTCTCCCTCAGGGAGAAAAGACTTGTTTCTGCCTCTACAAGAACAACAGATAAGGTGCTGTGCCTGTGGGCAGATTACTTTCCCCTTTGTTACAAGGGTAGAAGGGGTTTCTTGGTTTATTTTTTTTAGGGGGGGGGTTTGTTTGTTTTTTTTTTTAAATTTTTTTATTTTTATTTTTTTACTCTTCGTAATTATGATGATTCTGGGATCTGTGGCTTGCGAATAACCAAATAAATAAATAAACAAAGACCTGGCAACGGCAGTTATTTATTTTATAGCTGCAAAAGAAGCTTGACAGGGAGTACAGAAGTAGGAAACAGAGAATAGCGTGCCTTTTTTATCCAGAAACACTCTTTGCAGACTGAAAGACTTTTGTGGAGTAAGAGAACACACAATAAAACAACCCCCAACAAACCCTTGGGGCACGAGAAAAGACGGCCAGAGGGGTGGGTAACACCCGCGGAGAGAGGGGCTGTGTGTTTCTCCATCCCAGAGGAGCTCGGGCTGCGGGCAGCGCTAGGCTGGTGCCGCCGCGCTGTCAACACGCGGGCTGACTCTCGGCTGAGCCCCCCGAGACCAGCGGGGTCCCCGCTGCCCGCCCAGCCCCTGAGGCCAGGGCGCTTTCCAGCGGCGGGAAAGGCGCTCCTCCGCCGGCGTGGCGGCTCCTGCCCGGCCAACGGGGCCGCTTTACGGCACGGCCGTTCCGACCTCCCCGNCGCGGAGGGGAAGGGAGGGGAGGGGGAGCCGCCGCCCCCGGCCCCGGCGCGCCCCGCCGTGAGGGGACATCGCCCACCGGGACCCCCTCGGCTGTGTCCCGGGCGGGAGAGGGGATGAGGGGCGAGAGGAGAAAGGGGTCTCAGCCCACCCGTCTCGGCTCGGTGGCCGCCCCTCGGGGGCCGCTGGAGGGAGGGCCCGGTGGGAGAGACCGGAGAGGGTCTGGGAGAGAGATTCCCGCTTTGCCTCCACGTGGGTGAAGGTGGATTTGAGGCCCAAACTGTGAGCGGGCTGTCTCGAACTCTGCTTCAAAACGTCAAACTTTTAAATTTTTTTTGAATTTTCCCTGCAAACCAGCAGCATTTTCCATCTTTTTTGCAGTTTTGCATCGTGTGTCTTCACTGTCGCGTTGTAGAGTAATATGCAGCACAAGTTTATGTGTGCAGCCCCTTGGTGAATGAGAAGTAGGAGATGGTGCTCGTAAACTACTGTCAGCAGAAGGCAGCAGGGATGGGGTCTGTAATCTCTAAGCTAGGTGAAATTCTAGTGTTCAGAGCAAAGGTAATGTGATTAATATAGAACAACTTTATACCTGAAAGGTAAACTTAATCTAAGGTATTGAGCAGTCGCTTTATGTAGTTAATGGTGTGGAGGGGGTTGGGTAGTTATTGTGTTTGTGTTTTATAGTGTGTGGAAGTTTTTTTCTGCACTTATGCAGCAAGTGAGGGATCTGGACCACATCCTCTACAACCTTTGGAAGTGGTTGTGGAAGTGGCTGGTGAGGTGACAGGCAGGTTTGAGATGTTCCACACCACCGCTCCTGTTTTTTTTTTTTCATAGCTTAGCAGCATTTGTGGATCCAAACATAGTTTGGTGACAGACGTTCAGGCTTAATTTGCTGCCATTTATAGGCTATCACTGATGGTGGAACAGGTTGCCCAGAGATGTTGTGGATGCCCCATCCCTGGAGATGTTTAAGGCCAGGCTGGATGTGGCTTTACACAACTTGATCAAGAGAAAGGTGTCCCTGCCCATGGTAGGGGGTTAGACTAGATGATCTTTAAGGTCCTTTCCAACACAAACCAGTCTGTGATTATACGATTCTTTGATGTGGGTTGCTTCAGTGGTGAAGGGATTCCTTTTTCAAGAGTTTGTTACTGGACTCCACTACTCCTCCAAGATGGGGAATTCCGTTTAAAAGTTGACATAATAGTGTTGTTTTGGAGAAAGGGTGTGTTCTGCTCCACAGGTGTCCTGTGTGCAGGTTTGTTGGTTATGTGGTAGTTGCAGATGCCTGGTGTAGTTGCACCACATCAGCTGCCCAGTGTTCTCACATTGATAGTATCTGTCTAGTCCAGAGGAAACTTCAGTCTTGTCAAGTATTAAAATTCTGGCAGGTGTGCTTAGGAGATGAGAATTCAGCCAACTTTGAAATTTTTTTAGTGTAAAGGAGAAGAAACAGGAAAACTTAAAAATTGTTAAACTCGGTTATGAATATTAGTGGAGGGTTGGCTCTTTTAGGGGTCCAGTGTGAAGGGAATGATTCCAGATTTGGGCAGTACACTTATGGGCTTGTGTGGTATCTTTCCTCCTTTTTGTCCTCTGCATGTCCCGTTCTTCAGAGTTGTCGGGCAAATAAAGACTAGTACACTTCTACAGGCTTCTGATAATACAGACTTGAAACTGGGACAAAGAATAAATGCTTGGTGGTATTTAGTGTATTAATGTTTATAGTTGACTTCATTCCATATTCCTAGTGGAGTTCCTAATGCAGCTTCATGATTCTCCTCCAGTGACAGGCTGTTGTCTGCCTCTGTCTCCCTTAGTTCAGCCCTAGAAATGACCTGGCCTGGGATGAGTTCTTTTACCCCCACTATCCTGATGAAAAGTGAACAGACTTTTTTGCCAGAAAAAATGGAAAAAGTTGATTTTTAACAAGCTGAACGTACTCATACAGAAGCACAGGGTTGGCAGGTACAGTGAAGGTGAAGTGCTCTGTGATGGGTGATGTAGGGAAATGTCCTTTTAAACAGTGCCCTGCAGTCAGACCACACATGAAATTGTAGTTTCTGCTGAGTGTCCAAAGCTGATTTAAAATCTCTCAGTGGCTGGATGGATCCCTTTATTTTTCAATTTTCCCCATTCTTATCTTATGCTAATGGTTGGAGAGCCAGCTGGATTAGTTAGCTGATCAGAATTTATCTTTTACTGGAAACAAGTAAATATCTGGGAAGGAGCAGAAGAGAGAGGTGGGACTTTGTCTTCTGATGTCAGTGCTGGCCTGCTGCAGAACCGTGCTGTGAGTGGTGCTGCTGAGGGTGTACAGAAGCCTCGGAATGGCTCGGTTCTTGGTAGGGTCAAGCCTCATGTTTTTAAGCAAACAACTCTTCTTCGGCACTTCAGAAGTACTCATTTCATCTGGATCAAAGACGTTTTCTAGAGGAAGCAGCTGCTTTCTCTCTAGACATTTTCTTAAGAGCAGCTACCAGTATTCTGAAGAAATGTCACCAGATCACAGTTCATATTTCTCCCTCTTGGATTAGTCCTCATGTGATTCATGTTCTGCTTCTAGAGGGGAATGCTGTTATGCTGGCATTAGATTTAAATATGTGAATCTAAATTACACCAAGTCCTGGGAGATAGGTTCCTATGAATGACAAGAAAAAGTGAAAAGGCCAAGTGCTGCAAGCTAAGTTGAATTTATACAGCAGTTAACAGTCTCCTTGTGACATTCTATATAATTTTGAATGTTTTCAGGATGATGCCGTTAGTATTGAAAGTGGTACTAACACCGAACGCCCTGATACGCCAACAAACACTCCTAATGCACCAGGAAGAAAAAGCTGGGGGAAAGGAAAATGGAAGTCCAAGAAGTGCAAATATTCCTTCAAATGTGTAAATAGCCTAAAGGTAGGTATGTGTGAGCTTCAGGGAATGCTGGGCTCCACTTACTAGCAGCAGTGTTAATGTCGGCTGTGAGACAGCGTCATGCTAGATACTTTTAAATATCATTAAACAATTATGTTCCCTGCTGATTTGAAGCAATTATTTTTCTTACATGGAATAGCCAAAGTTTTGAAGAAAAGGTATGCTGTGAAATAGGAAACAGTAGGTAGTGCTGCAGTTAACCCTGTTTTTGTACACTCTGCCAAGTTTTGTATGATGCTGTGATTATGTATTTCATTGAACCTGTAGATGCTAGAGATAAATATGAGAAGTTGGATAAACAAATTGAACTAAAACCAAACCTATGACAACTCCATGCAAAGTACAGAACCTGCACTGATTTTTCTGTGTTGAAAAAAACCCCCAAACAATTCAACCCAACAATCTTAGTTTTTTCCTCACAGTTAACCACAGTTAGTTATATTCTGTCCTCTGGCATTATTGTAACTACTGTGTAGTGCAATTTGCTTAATTTATAGTGAGTGTTGGGATCATGTGTTACCACCTGATTTAGGCAGTATGTATCTTCCCATGTAACACCTGACGGTTTTAAGAGATGCGGATTCATGGACTTTAGTCCCTGTTCTGCTGTTCTAGCATAGTGCTGTTTTCTTCTGCACTGGTGACAGACTATGGTGGACTGAACAAGTTTTCTCATTCATGACTATTTTACTCTGTCAGAATGTTCTTCTTTTTCTCATTCCTCAGCCTTGTGTGGGATATTTATGTGGCAAAAGCTGTAAATGAGCCTTATGATTTGGTTTTTATAAGATTTCTAAGTAAAGGATGATTGTGTCAGGAACAAGATGGACAAACTCTCTGAGGATCTGTATAGCTCAGTAGAGGATATTTTCTGCAGAATTGCTCTAAGAGTATTTTTTCATTCCTCCATGCATAACTGTGGAGCTGTGCTGGTGTGGCTCTTTTCTGAACTTTGTCTTCAGGCTGCCTTAGTGAAACACTGGGGTACCTGAGTAGGAGGGGATAAAAGGTTTGGAGCATGGAAACCTTCAAAATGAGCTTTGTCACTGGAGAAATTGTGATACGAAGTTACACTGACAAAAGTATCTGGGAAACAAATTGATCTTCTTGTGTTCTTGAACTATAAAAATTATCTCCAGGCCTTTGAGGGTGTAGGAGGAAGGGAAGTTGTTTCATTTCACCAAGGTAGGCAGCAGTTCCTGTGATTCGCGTGAATCGCCCCCGCGGATGGTGCTATTTGTGGCTTCAAGTCATACTTCAAACACAGACATGGGCCTTTGGACACTCAAACTCAAAGTTCTGAGCCTTGTTACTCATACTTGTTTTCTGTCTGCAGACAAAAAGGGTTAGTACTTTCCAAGTGTCTTCTGGGAAAACAAAACATTCCTTCACTCCAGTATTAATCCAGACCCCACTGTAGGGCAAACCAAAAGACCAAGCTATGAAACTAAGCAATCCCTGATTTCCTTGGATTTGGATCAGGGCCTGGGAACAGATTCCTGTGCAAGTGGAATCAAGCTGTGAGGGAGTAAATGTAGCATTTCAATTAAGTGGAGTATTTTTATTAGCTTTTTTCCCCATTTCTCTTTGATCTGAAATGAATGGTAATAAGAGATGTGCATGTTAATATGAAGATTAGGTAGCATCCAAATTTGATTTTTTATTTCATGACTGAGGAAGCCTCTCTACCATTTCCTGTTCATCCATAATAACTTTGCATACTCTGGCAAAAACTAGTGATTGAATGTTGTATGTGGGTTTAGAAAGACACGTGTAACTCTTTGAGTACCATGTCATATATTCCCTAGTTTATATGTTTTTGAATTATGCTGTAAGATGCAAGTATTGAAGTTAGTGAAGCATCAACATGATTTAAAGATCATAGAAATTAATATTCTTTAGGGGTGTATAAATTACATGTTTTTGCACTTTCATGCTTATGGTTTCCCCCTCTTATTTTGTTTTTTTGTTTTTTTTTTTTACTTTTTTCCTCGGGGAAACAAAGAAATATGGTCATTACTGTCTGCTTTGAGTGTCAAATGGTTATGACTAAGCCTGAAAAACTCAGTGCTTGCTAAATATGCTTTTTAAACACTACTTTGACTGTTATTTTGGATGAAATTTAAGCATCAGGAAAACAAAAATGCAACTTGGAAAATAACAGGAAATAAAAAACTCTCTTTTCTTTTTGGGGTAGTAAGTTACTTGTAAGATGTACTGAAAAACCTTTCTGTGGGCTGAATGGAAATAGGGTTTATAAATGTCCGTATACAGCTAACACAGCTAGCACAGTTGCACATCCTCATATATCCATATCTGTTTTGCTGATTGATCTTCTGGCAGAAAACCATGTCTGTTTTGCTTTATTGTGCTCCCTTTAAAGCAATACAATTATTTTCCCTACCATTTACTTCTGCTTAGGGTGTGTGCTTAAGTTGTAAGCAGCCTGGTGTTGTCTCAGCTTCTACTTGCTGTCCCCTGACTTGGGAACCAGTATCCAATGCCACGCAGAATTTTAGCTTGTTGATGTGTAATGGAGACTAAATGAAACTAAGCCCACTGCCCATAATGGCTTACTTCCACTTCTGGGAACTAGAAATGCATGTGTGGGTTGTTGGCTCCCCACTGGCAGTGTGGGTGACACAGATTAAAAGGCATTCATGCAGGTGATTATTTTTGGCATAGTATTGACTTCAGTGCTTTTGTCTAAAACCAGGTCTAATCTTACTTTTTGATTGAGCCCAAGTTAGTGTTGAGTAAGCTTGGAACTTATCACTGATTATTTATTTGCTTTTGTAGCAATAGGTCTGTTTTCTTCTTCGCCTTCTTTCTCCAGTGCATGAAGAACCTGGGTACTTTGGGTTTTGTGCCCTTTATTCATAGCAGGGACAAGATGGCATTTCACAATTTTACTTTTGGACGGGTATCTGGGTCACTTCTGTCTGTACAAACCAGTGTCAGATTTGTGTCACATACTTGGCGTCTGAGCATAACCATCTTGTACGGCACCTAGAAGTACAATGTTTTGGAAAAGCTCCTTCATTGTTTAGCACTTGGGACAAAAATTAGAGCAGACAAGTATTTTCGGAATAGCTGTGTGCTGTCTCTGACCACTGGGGATGTTGGGAGTTTAAATAGGAGCAGAGCTTCTGCAGATACCCTGCTGTCTTCCTGCAAGGGCTTCTGCCTGGCTGCTTCATCCATAAAACACCAGCAAAACTGCAATATGTACAGTCAGGCTCCTGGAGATTGTAGCACTTGGTGTGAAAAATGTAGTGTGGGTGAAGTAAGTAGACTAAAGACATTCGTCTTGCTCAGTAATTTTTTCCAGGGAAATAGGTTTTCTTTGAAAAACTTGCAAAATACTCTAGGTATGTACTCAAATATAAAAATATGGAAACAGCGCAGCACTCTGTTGTATATCTCTACTTATCACCTTAGTCTGGGTCCTACCTAGAAAATCAGAAACTTACTGAAACTTATGCTGGAAAAATATCTTATCTTGAGGGTGAAAAACATACTGCTTTTCACTTTCCATATTTTTTTAAATTTATCAGAATCAGAGCATATGACAGAGAACAAGGTTGTTCCAGAAAAACAAATGTAAAACCTGCTAATGTGTCTCGGTAATAAAGCAGTGGGAATACATGAATTTTACCTGTGTTATCTTCATGTGATACGTCAGAAGCACTCACTATTAAGAAGCAGCAGGAACTCCTTCAAGCAGAAATTTGAAACCAAGTTATTATTAGTGGAAAAACTTCATTAGCATTCTGAATTTGATCTCTTAGCCATTCTCTTCAAACAAGACTTAAATACACTCAAAATTAAGGCTACCAAGTAAAATTAATAAATATATTGCACAAAAAAAATCATGACCTTCTATATGCAATTTTATGGCTTACAGTTTTCCTCATTCTTCATTTCTAGTTAAACTGTAATGCTTTACAGATACTGAATACCTGCTTTTTTCTTCTGTCCTGGGGTTACTAATAACCTTGCTACTTTTCCCTTTCCTAATATCCTATATCCCTCATCTTGCAATGCCATTAGTTTCTTCTTTTGCGTTATGATGGGTAATACTTTGAGTTAAGCTTTGAACAATTCTTCTGAATCTTTATTGAGCTTTCAAAGTTGTTGCCTCTCTTAAGAATTACAGGAGGGCCTTCATCTGTGAAAGATTTTCTGCTTTCTCTTTCTAGCTCTTCTAGTTATTTCTGTTAATAACAGATATAGCCTTTCTCACTAAATAATGCTATTTAAATTTTTTCCTGACTTCCTTTACTTCTCTTTTTCTAAGGAGTGTTAGACTCCCTACTCACACCCCCTCCTCGAATTTATTATTTGGTTTTGTATAGGCCAGAGCTGCCAGGGCTGGTACTTCTTGTGTTGTCTCTGAAGTGCTGCCATTTGAAGGCTGCTGAACAGCCATCATGAGACACTTCCTTCCTGCCTGCACTGTCCCAGACAGTCCCCTGTGGGGAGGCACTTCAATGAACATTATTCTTGCTAAAAACATCCTGTTAGGACAGGCCAAAATACTGTTATCAATTAATAACAAGCACTACCATATTCATCACAATTCATAAACATACCTACTTTTTTTTTTCTCCCAAACTGATGTAAGTTGTATAAAAATAATACTTGGCATTTCTCTGGTAACTGTAAAAGGGAATCTGAAAACATTTTGTAGACATGAACTTTGTTAGCGATATTGTGACATGCTGGAGAGAGTTCCTTGTGTCTGTGGCAAAGTTACAAGACATAACTGTAATGTAATAGTTAAATGTGACTTCTCCATCCTTATACCAGTGTAATTCTTCTCTCTCCTAGTTATTCTTACCTGTAAAGTTGCAAATCCTTGTGTATAGGTAATTATGATAGAAAATGCATATAGCTCTGACCTTAGATGCAGAGATTGCCTTATTGAAAAATGTGAAAAAAAATAGTAGAGCTGCAAATACAACTTGGGAGTTCTGCCAGCTTCTAGGCGTAACTGAGACAACAGTTCTTCCCCTTTACTTTTTAAAAGCTTGGTGGAGAAAGGAGAGGGGTACATTTGTCAGAATATTCCTTTAAACCTCCCTTTAAGACAACTGAGCTAAAATGTGATGTTACAAAACTGTGATTGGTAACTGTTCACTATCTAAAATTATACTGGCTGTGAACCCATTAGTTTGAGGAGGAAAACTTACCAATTAAAGTGTTAAATTTCACAGCCTGTGGGTTTTGTTGGGTTTTTTATCTCTGCTCTTACTTTACACCTATAGGAGGACCATGGCCAGCCTCTGTTTGGAGTGCAGTTTAACTGGCACAGTAAAGAAGGTGATCCTCTTGTTTTTGCCACTGTAGGCAGCAACAGAGTGAGTAATCTGTTTTTCATCATACGCCCTTCAGTGTGGTTCTGCATGCATTCCTGTTTTCAAGCAATCCCTTTACCTGTGTTTGGTACAGACACACAATATAAACAGATGTATTTCTAAGATGTGTAGCATCTGTTATCTGGGACAGCTGCATCCTTTGCATTGTCCTATGAAGTCATGTTAGCTATTTGGTAATTAAGCTATGTAGTAAAGAAAAAAGTCATTAAGTAACATACATATGGGATAAGGAAGAGAGGTGCATAAATATGTCTTCTCAAAGAAATTGTTCTTCATAAATGTTATTCTTTTCTAAAGGTCATGAACTCATATATACAGGACGAGAACTGTCTGCAATGATGCCAACCAGCTCAGTAGCTAAATTAATGGCCTGTGTGGGGTGAATTTATAGACTTCCTCTGAACTAGGATTGATGTCACTTCAGTCTTGAAAATAACCTGAGAAATACGTTTTATGCAAGTGTTGTGAATAAATAAGAAGTGTTTAATTTCTAGGTTTGTTCTGCCTGGCAAGTCACCAGAACACACTAAACTAAATTTAAGCATGGTTTCAATGAGTTGTTAAACTAAGTTTAAGCAAGGTATCAATGACTCATTACAAGACCAAGTCACTAGAGATGACTGCAGTAATTAATGGCAACAAGAGTTTGTCTTATTAAGGCAATTAAAATAATAAACTTCAATATCTGGTAAGGACAGCTGACAAGTCCTGGAATGGTGCTTTACTGAAACTGCTGTGGGCGTTCTTTTATCAAAAAACCATTTCCACCTGTTAAACAAATGGATGATGGATGAAATCTGAACCATAGAGGCACTCCACCTCTCCTCATCAGGCAGTCAATAGATGGGTACATGTGATTTCCTTTTGAAATATTGCAACTGAGCAGCAGTCTCTCCCACTTACTTATTTTTGGTTTTTTTTCCTCCAGGTTACTTTATATGAATGTCATTCCCAAGGAGAGATCCGTCTGTTGCAGTCTTACGTGGATGCTGATGTATCCTTTTAAGTTAAATACCCACGATTGCTTCTTCTTTATGAAAAATCAAGAGGCTCTATAGGAAAAAGCATGAAAATGTTTTGTCTGTGATTTAATACTTTGCTCATGTGATGCATTCTTTATGTTAGGTCCAAGTCTTGCCTCTTTCCCACATCCTCGAATCCCCCCTGTTGAAAAAATGTTAAAAACGCAGACTCAGGGACCAGACTGTGTTAGAATATTTGAAAACTGATTCTCCATCGGTTTAATCTTCTCAACACTGATGTTTGTATAATGTTTCCCTGCTTTACAGTGGTCTCAGTTTCTCTGTGAATTGGAACAGGGTTTAAAGCCTAGGAATGTCGTTTCATGCTCTGAGGCATTAATAATTTGTGTTGATCATTTGCAATACACAAGTCATTAACTTGTGGGCTCGGTTGTGATTCATTATTCCCAAGCAAAGGTGATGCCATGAAAGAGAAGTTCTTCCTTGTATGTTATGGAACAGAAGTGAGGAAATCAACATCTGTAGAAAAGGCAATGTTGCTGGTATTTCCAGGTATATAACTGAATTTGTGTCTTTTTCTTATGGCATCCAGCAGAGACTCCTGGGCACTTGGCTAAAATAGCAACAGGTTTGTTTAAAATAAAATTCTGTTTAAAAAAAGAAAATAAAAAATCTCCTGTTTGTTCTGTGGTCCTTAACTTGAGGCATTGTAGGCAGATGAAAATTTCTATACCTGCGCATGGACATATGATAGCAATACAAGCCATCCTCTTCTGGCTGTGGCAGGATCCAGGGGTATTATTAGGATAATTAATCCTATTACAATGCAGTGCATAAAGGTGAGTGTTCAGGACTTTGAGATACAGCTTGTGTTTCAGTAAGGCATGACACTTTTTTCCTCTAAGTACATGTAAACATGAGGGGAAATGGTAACTTGGTCTCTGAATTCTATCCCAGCACTACGTGGGCCATGGAAATGCAATCAATGAACTGAAATTCCATCCAAGAGATCCAAATCTTCTTTTATCTGTAAGCAAAGGTGAGGAAAAACGTCTGTTGTTTTTGTATAAATGAGGATATTTTAGATTGGAGTTTGGTCCTCAATATGGCCAAAAACCTTCATTTTTTTTAAATTTTTTTTTATTTATTTTTTTTTTTATGAATGGCACTGGACAAGTTAACCGTGAAAGTTGAGAGCAAATCATGCTTTTTACATGGCTATATATTTTATACTTACTAAATCCATGGCCTACAACCATAACTCCAGCTATGGTGCAAAGGGATTGTGAATAGTGCTGCTTTTTAGGAAAGAAGAATCATGAGCCTTGGGTTTGCTCTTTACTTTCTTGACAGTTGAATTTAAGTTTTTTTCAGTTGTTGAATCACGTTGCCATCTAGTGGGGACGTCTTAATGTTGCAGACAGCGTTTACCGTCATGGTTGTGGGGAAAAACCTGGATTGTCTGTTGCTTGGGAACTTTAATTGGACTTTGTGTAAAAAGCATATTAATGACGAGAGTTTTTGGTAGAGTGTCCCATGGGCTTGTCCAGAAAGTTTTAACAGTTACAGCTTCCTAATACTGACTGTTTTGTTAAGTAAGGGAATGATCTGCCACAAGGAGCTGGCCTTCAGCAATGCTTGAGTTGGAAACATTCACTTAAGGGGACTGTTTGCTTTAGTGTAATTTGACTTAGTGATGAAGCTTCATGAGAACAAGAGTTGGGAAGCTCTCTGATGTCAAGTTGCTGCTGTGGGTCTGTAAAGTTCCAGTTTCTGTATATTTTTTAGGTTCTCTTTGTAATAATGTTTTGACATCAGCCATAGTACTACAAGCTTTAAGGTGCAATCTCTGGACCAGGTGCTATCACTAAGACATGAAGCAGGAGAATATTTGGACTGTTTAAACTGCTTGGCTGAGAGATTAACAAAAAAGGGAGAATATTTGGGACTGTGTTGCCACCTGTGTCCCTTCTGGGATTTTGGGTGTTGCTGTAATTCAGTGCAATGTACTTGTGGAATCTGAAAGGGAAATATACTACAGGTGTTCCCATTTCCAGTTGGGAGATACACTAGAGGTTCTTCATTAGAAATTGTTAAAACTTCCTTTAAGTAAGTGGATTAGTCTGATTGACTTTGGAATACATATTGTTTATAGAAACAGTTTTTCCCTTCCTTACTGACTGTGGTTCATAATGTTCTAAAGGTTAAAAAATGGAAAATCAAACTTTTCTGAATGTTGATGTTAGAATGGCAGAAAGAAATTCTAGTATTTTTTGATACATAAAATTGTTTTTTATGACTGACTAAAAGCATATTTGTCTGAGATCAGACTTGTCTTTGCTTTTTGGATGATCTAAAGATCCAAGTGTGTTTTTGTTAGAAACTCTCCCTAGGGGAGGGGGTGGGCACACTTTTTCAATTACAGAATTACTTCTGACAGTAAGTTAATAGTAATTTTAGTTAATGCAGTTCTGTTGTTTCTAAAAAGAGAAGAGGAATTAAGTGCTTTTTTTGATGTTGACCTACGCACCGGTTACTCAAAGTGGTTAAGCTGAAATATATTATTCAAATGTACATGTAAAAAGCAGCATGTAATTCTATTTGTTCTTTATAGATCATGCATTGAGACTGTGGAACATCCAGACAGACACGCTGGTTGCAATATTTGGAGGAGTAGAAGGGCACAGGGATGAGGTGTTAAGTGCAGTAAGTGGAAGACCGTGGGGCAGTGATTTAGATTTACAAAGGGTAGTAAGCAACCTTTTATCTTCTTGTGCACTCTTTGATATTATAGCTACTTAAAAAGAACCACCTGGAAGTGCATAAATACTTTTTAAAGTATTTATGCACTTTAGATAGACAACTTTAAATGTCGGGTGGTTTGATTGATGTGACCATCTCTTACAGACAGGATCTATGTGTTTCAGTAGCTGTTTTTTTTGGGGTACAGCCTAGAAATGAGCAAAATAGGGCTCAGTGGGGCTAGAAAGAGTAAAAACATTTCATGATGGTCCCACTTTTGAAGTTCTTAAGTTCTCATCAAGTCAAGCATAAGCAAATAAACCTGGAAAGACATGGTAGTGAAGGAAAGAAGTTATTTAAGTTAAATTGTTTTTCAGTGGCTGTGAACAGACACTGGTACCCAGCAAATACCAACTAGAATAATTAACTTTTAATATGCTGTTCTTAAGAACTCTTACCATTATGGTTGTGTGACCTGTTGTGAAAGGTGAGGGGTTCATCTGTAGGAAATCTGACACTGTATTTATTACTCACCCATGTTGTAGCCCTGGAATTCTGCTGTAGTTGCTCTTTGGGAACTTAGAGAAGGAGGAGAACTAGTTGTAGATTCACTGTCTGTCAGTGCTGTTGAATATGTCTCTCTTTCTTGAGAGAGACTGAATATAATTACTAAGATGCTGTGCTGCTTTGCAGTGGGCTGGATTACGTTCTTAGTATTTTTCTATTTGAAATACTCAGTTTTATTGCATGCTCTACACATAAAATGCTGTTTTGATGGAAACAATGGAATAAAATCTGAGTTGATGTAATGCAGCCTAGGGTTGGAGTGCTCAAAATTATTTTATATACATAGGATTATGATCTTCTTGGTGAAAAAATCATGTCCTGTGGGATGGATCACTCTCTAAAACTCTGGAGAATTAATTCCAAGAGAATGATTAATGCTATCAAAGAGTCTTATGAGTACAACCCAAATAAAACCAACAGGTATGTAGTCTTCATTTTCTTGTCTGTCTTTGCAACACATGAATACTCCTATCAACAGTCCAGGTTCATTCCTTTCCATGTTGGGAGTTTTTAGGGAGTGACCTGGATATTGTGCTGGGTACTGAATCTCACTAGATTGTGTGTCTTATTGATGTTTGCTTCACTGGAATATTATTGAATTCTGATTCAAGTCCCCAAAATTTTATTTTTAATTATCTCAATTACTTCTTTGCTTGACTAGAAAATGTCTCAAACTATTATCATAAAGCTTGTATTTCGTACATTTCAGGATGTCAGTAATTTTCCTTCATCTCATCTCATCTCAAAATTTCTAGAAGGGGATCAAATCTGTGTAATTAAATGTGGCAAATAATCTTATATTGAGTAGTTAATTATTGTGTATTATTTGACTTTGGGGTGGGGACAAAACTGTTTACATAGTAATATCTTTATTTTCATCATTCTCTGATTTGACCTCAGATATAAGTAAATTATCAAGTAAACATAGTAATTAGATACATGATAGATAAATCCTCCTTTATGAAGTTCTTCAACTTTTTGATCTTAACTTCCAGTTAAACCATTGAGAGAATTGAAGAGTCTAAAACACAGTGAACATGTTCAGCAATGAGACTAGCTGTGAAAATACTCTCGCTTTTTTTGGTAATGTTACCAAATATTAAATGATGCTTTTTAGCGTGCTTTTTTTTAAATGATAATTTTTTTAAAGTGTGCATTTCTATTTAACAATTTAGATGTTGCAGAAGCAGCATCAGGAAGACTGATCTTTAATTGGTTCTTGAAGTATTTGGTGACAGGCATTGTATTCAGCAGCTGAAGGAGTAGTTTTATTCAGCACTATCTCTGCACATGGGAGATACATGGGAAACTTGGTTATTTCATTAGGAATGAGGATGAAAACAGGGACTATTCCTATTACTATTAAAAAGAAAAACAAACTGCATACAAAATCTACTTTGTTTTAAAACTGTTAAAAAGTTGGGCTTGTTCTTTTAGCATCAAAATATGTTAAAACTGGTTATTTAAAAAAATTACACTTGTGCTTCTGTGTTTGTTTTTCTGAACCTCACTTGGCAATTTTCTCCATAGGCCTTTTGTTTCCCAGAAAATTCACTTTCCTGACTTTTCTACAAGAGACATACATAGAAACTATGTTGACTGTGTACGGTGGCTGGGAGACCTAATTCTTTCCAAGGTAATGCTGCAGCTTTTTCAGCTATATTACATTTATTTGCTGGTCCTGAAGATCCTAAACCTTAGAAATTTTAATAGCATTTGGGTCTTAGCTTAAATTACTACCTTGTGTTAAATAATTTTTTGGAGTGTGGATTTTGTCACCTGTCAGGATGTGTTGGTAAGCAGCTTATACTTAACTACAAAATTCTTCCTACAGCTGTACTCTGCTGCAAGTAAAGGGTTTCTGGCAAACCAGAATCTGCATGGAACATACAGAAAAGGAATCTCTAGATGTTGATTAGGGATCCTTCTGCTAAAGAGTGGGATGAGGGTTATCATAATGGAGTAACTTTGATTAATGTGTTGTGTCCACTAGTAACATTGGCTTGCAGATATTAAAGTAGGCAGTCCAATTGCCTTGATGGTAAACTCACCAGCAATTTGTGCACTGTCCTGTTAGTCAAAGGGATTGGGTAAACAGTCCTCAAACCAAGTTTAAGCTGCTAATGAAATTGTGTTTGACCACATGTGGTTGACTTCATCTGAAGTGGCTGAGGGAGGGCCCCTGCAGTCCCATTACCTGGCAAAGCTGTGAGGGCATCAGGTTGCCAGTGATGGACAGTGATCTAAGGGCAGAGGTGAGATTTTCAGTTCTGCTTTTCATGCTTTCATTGGGGAAGCTGTAAGGTTAAATATTTGCTTATAGTTAGATCGATTCTGCAGTGTGCTTTACAGGTGATTTTTCTTTTCATTGTTTCACTTCAGTCTTGTGAAAATGCCATTGTTTGCTGGAAACCTGGCAAGATGGAAGATGATATAGATAAAATCAAGCCCAGCGAGTCAAACGTGACCATTCTTGGGAGATTTGATTATAGCCAGTGTGACATATGGTACATGAGATTTTCAATGGATTTCTGGCAAAAGGTACATGTCTGACTTTGCTGTATTTGAACGTGTGTAGCTTTTAATTGATTACATGTTTATGGGCATAGGAAGGGTCTTGGTTCATGAGATGTTTGAGAAACAGAATGGTTTGCTGTATGGGCCTTTGTATGAACCTGAAGGAGCTCCAGATTTTTTTATTCTGGGTTCTGCCTGTGGAAAAAAATTCCACCAAATAAATATTTAATTTCCACTGGAAATATGTTTCCGGGTGTCTTCATCCCCTGTCTGCAGAGACTGATAAAATAGAAGGAAGGAGGCAAATTCTACAGCCTTTCTGACTCCTCCAACAAGCTCATTAAGTTGTTCATGTTTAAATGCTCACACACATTTTATCAGCTCTACAGCCTTTAGAAAATTCTTTATTGATGACTTTATAATATGACTTTATTCTTTGAGGGAGTATTTTAAAACTTCTTTATCCTCTGCTTTATTTTTAAGATGCTTGCTCTGGGCAATCAGGTTGGCAAACTTTATGTTTGGGATTTAGAAATAGAAGATCCACATAAAGCCAAGTGAGTACTTTATTTTGTTTTTGCTAATGCAGGGTGTTGTGATACTTTTCCTTTCCAGATAACAGAGAAATAATAATAGAGAAATTCTTTACAGTACTACCTACTTTCCATTATAACTACTAGGGAAATTAACATTGTGAGCTCCTGAAGGTTAATGTTTATTACAGCTCACTAATTTATAATTTATGGTAATGCCAAGAGGGCCCAGTTGGGTTGTGCTGGCTACCATGTGTAGATACAGTAAAAGGCAATTTATTTCTCAGAGTTTTTGCTAATTGGGTGGAAATTTTGCAAAGCCATTAGAAGAAGTGCTAGGTGGGTGTAGCACATGACAAAGGTGAGATAGGTGACAGGACTGGAGTAAAAAAGGTGAATATAAAGGTGAGCTACAAGCAGCACAGTGTAGAGAGAACACTATGGCTTTCCACTTCCTCACCTCTGTTGCCAGGTAATTTCACAGCATGTCTCTTAGATACATGTGGATACATATGTATGTGTGAAAACATGCAAATGCAAAAAACCCCTGAACACAAAAAAGTGCCCCAAAAACATCATTGTATAGAGAATGCATATGCACTGTATAAATAAATACTTCATGTATTTTATTTTTATATACCCTATATATATATATATATATGTTTATTATCCATTATATATATATATATATGTTTATTATCCATGTCTTTATGTATTTATATATCTAATCCATGTAAATACATATATATGAATACATTAATGGATGAAATTCCTGGAAGTGCTACAGTCTTTAGTCAATGATTCTGGTATTTTATTCCTAATGCTGGGAAATGACACTGATTATGAAGTCCTAAATAATGTGATTGAATAAGCTTTCAGTCTTTGGTTCAATAAAAATTGGGTGGATGAGAAACAACTGGTGGGTGAACAGGAAACTGCTTTTCCAAGTCCTCATTTGGAATACAAAATACACCATGAAGGCCATAATCTTGTTGCCTTCAATTCCTCCTAGGTCACATAAATAACAGTGCTCCATGATGTAGTAGGAAGATTTGACATTGCAGCTGAATCATTTTCTTTTCTTTCTAGGTGTACGACTCTTACTCATCCTAAATGTGTTGCTGCCATCCGACAGACCAGTTTTAGCAGGGACAGCAGTATCCTTATAGCTGTGTGTGATGATGCCAGTATCTGGCGCTGGGACAGATTACGATAAAGTACTTTTTCTTAATTCATAGAAGAAAATATATTTTCAAATTATAATATAGTCTGTTAACTTGCTAGTACAGTAGATGCATTTAGTGTAGACTTTCTCGAAGGTTCAGCAGGCTGGAGCTGGACTTAGTGATGTTTACATTCTGTGTATTGTTCTGCTTGAAATTGCTGCTTTTAATAAAAAGAAGTATTTTTGTAAAGTTTTCTGAATTGTCCATTTTAATTATTTCCCACAAGAAGTTTTCACTTAATGGCATAGGAAATTTCTTTGTGTAGAATTATCACATGATTGTACTTGTAACTTGCTACTTTGGTATATTTATGCTTGCAGTTGTATTTTGTGCCTTTTGAAAACTTAATGAAGATTTTATTCAGGCACTGCACAAAGGAAATGCTACTCTTAAGAATATAATATAAATAATTGTTAAACCATTTCTAAAAATATTTTGAACTCATTCCTTAAGTAAGTTGCAGATTGAAATTGATTCAATTTTTGTAATCTCAAATTGGGATTTGCTTCTCACCATATCTGTTACTAACTAGGGGGCAAAAAGCCCCACTGGCTTTGTTTGGTGAATCACATTGTTTTGTTGTTTGAATTCTGTCTGTCTAGTTACTGCATTTATCTAAAAGTTAGTTTTTGGAAATATGTTTTAATTGCCTCTGTTGTCAATATTCCCAAATAGCCTCCTCAATGTTTTTACTTGCATTAGGAATAATGAATTCTAAAATCAATCATATCTCATATAGGTTTAAAATGTGTGCAGTTAATAAAAGTGAAAGGGGAAAAATGGGTAAGATGGGAGAAATTATTAGCAGTGATAGTCTGTGTTCAAAACACTTTTACATATCTTGTCAGCAGGTAGCTGGAATGCTCATGTCTGTGTTAAGAAAGTGGCCCAGGACATTGCTCAGTAGCTGTGTGTACCTGAATGAGGAAGAAAGTAAATAACATTTATTGAGGCTGAACCATTTACATACTCTTTTTCCCTTTACCTGCCCTTATCCTTCAACATAACATATTACTTGAGAAGAATGTTCTGAGTTATGATGTAAATACAAGTACACTGTCATTGTCAGTATTATGGTGCCTTTCTGATTAGTAGATTAAGTAGTCCTGTCTGGTTCTGACTTCTTAAGTGCATATCTGACTTTTCATTTTTCAAGATACTGCTTTTTTTCTGTTTGTTACAGTTTGGGAAGCTTGTAAATGCTCTGGTTAGATAAACTGCCTGTTTAGTTGTGTACTTGGGAACCTGAAAAAAATGAAGCCCAGAACTGACAGATTTTAGTCTGTAATACATGATTGTTTTCCTTTTTTTTTTCCCTCTTTTAAATCCTTGTTCTTACTACTAGGGAAGCGCAGTAGTACCACAGATCCATGGAAAACTAGTGTTTAATTGAGCTGGATTTTGGACCTTGTTTTTCTTGCACAAGCCAAATGGCCAGTGTGGTCTTTCTTGTATCCATGAGTGTCTGTGCAAGAGAACATGATCAGAAAGCCAAGTGTAAAACCACAGAGCTGGGCAGAACCATGTAGAAGCCTGAGTACCGGAGGGAGGAAAATGAAATCCCTGCAGAGTTGAACACAGATCAGCTGAAGAGGGAGACAGGTGAGACTGGAGCTTGGAGAAAATGTTTAACTTCCTGCATCTATAGAACTACTGGCATAGTGTGAGCCAGTGTTTTCACAACAGCAATGGTCCATAGACCTCATAGATCATTTTGTGGCAAGTATGTGGTGTTGGCAGGGTCTGAAAAATGAGGAGGCTGGGGTGTGGTTGGGAGAGCACTCCAGAAAGGCAGTGGGAGTGCTCAGACTTCCTGCAGCCTCAAGGAAAGAGCTTTGATTGATTTAGCTATACTAAGAGCACTTGGGTTAGAGGCTGGTGCCATTTAGCCTTTGCAAATGCTTTACAGTAGCATGGCATTAGACTGTCTTCTGTTTTCCTGTGGTCGGGAAAGTGAGAGTGAAATGGGATACAAAAGCAGAAGGGATTTCTCAGCCATGGGTGTTGTTTAGGGACATAAAATTGGTACATTCTGACAAATGAGCTGCTGTGTTTGAGAGGAAGGAAAGGAAGGGTGGTGCTTGACTGGAAAGAGGCCTAACACAGGGTCAGCTTTAACTTCTGTTTTAACTTAGGAATGTGCTGCAGTCTGTCCTCTTAAAATGCAGACAAATGTTCCAGGAGCTTTGCTCTGAGAAACCTGGATGGAACTGAAATCGGATTAAAAGTGTTAATGAAGGGAAGAACTTGTGTAAGTAGAGCTGTAGCAAGCCAAGGGGAGAAAAAGTTCTCCTTTACAACAGTCAGCCCCATCTGTGTGTAGATTTAGTAATATTTTGAAGATGCACAACAGGGGGAAAAGTCTTTGTTAACAAGCAGACCGATAAAGCTCAAGTGAATATAAAACTTGCGTATTCATTTCATTAGGGTGTTTTCTTTCTACAGCTGCCAAGTTCTAGACTAAAAAAAGGAGAGAGATTAAAATTATTGTGTGTCTTCTGGAAGATGCAGAGCTACTAGAATTATAATCGTTGCAAAAGAATTTAAAGAAGAGTTTAGTATTTTCCAAAACCTTTTCACCTTCTAATATATGCTTTTGTGAAACATACCTCGAGAGCTCCAGTGCCTAAATTTTTCAACAATAGAAATGTGGCTTAACCCTAGTATTGGACAAACCTACCAAAAATAGCCTGAAAGAACACATGTTCTTCTCCATTGTCATCAGGCCACCTTTAGGGCTGTTCTTTGACAAATTCTGTAATTGAGTCCTGTGTCCCATGTCAAGACAGGTGAGGGACAGGTAAAGTCAGGCTAATGAGTAACTGCAGTACGATTAGGAAACTGTTTCAGAGGCTGCAAGTGTTGTTACAAAGGTCTGTTCTTTATGAACTCTGAATGAAGAGCATAATAAAAGGTTGAATGAAGGTTGCCTTAAAATGAAGGTTGCTGATTCCCTCAGTTATTGCACACTGAGTATCTCCCTGAAGAGATTAAAAAAAAGAAAAAGCTGAAAAGTAAAGGTACCTGGCAGCCCTTGTCTTATTCTACCAACTTTCAGAAATTTAGAAATTGCATAAACTGTAGTCTTGGACTACAGTTCTAACTTCAAGGCAGAGACTTTGCCCAGGGACAGGAAGAAGGTTTGTACCACAGCTGGAAGTAGAAATAGAAAACCAGTTCCTGATTGTTGAATCAGTGGTTCACTTAAAAGGTCTCTTCTCACAGTATGGTCCTGTTTCCTGAGGTGATGCTCCATCTGATGGTGAATGAATAAAGAATGTTGCCACAATGCAGTATTGAATCAGATTCTTCTTGAGGCTTTTATTGTTAAGCCAAAACAATTTAATACAAATATGGATTGAATTTTCCCCTCCTAGTCAAGGTAAGAGTGCTTGCTTTCTCTGCATTTCATGCTCATGTTTCACCACTGATTGTATTAGGAAGCTCTGGTTCCATGGCTAAAAGTGAAGGAATGAACTTCCTCTGCAAGTACTACAGACACAGGTTCACCTGAGAATGCTTTGCTCTCACCATAAGCTGTGTCAGAAAAATATTTACAACAAAGAAATGAAGGAACTTTTTAAAAACAAATAAACAAATCCCCTGCATAATTAGAATTTTGACTACTTGCCATGAATTTTGCATCTGTTTTTGTATAAGCCAGCAGTAATATATGCACTTTGTTATTTTTAAATTTTTCTCTGGGCATGGTGGTGAGGTGAGGGCAGATGTAGAAACAGGCAGGGCCCTTGTGAAAAGAATCCCCACTAACAATTCCTATTAGTTAGAAAAGGCATGGAAAGGAAAACAATTTGGAAAACGGAGGGAAATATATCTACCCTGTCATGGTTACGAGTTTGGCATGGAAGCCTAATGTGACAGTGTTCTATTTTTTTTTCACAGGTTTTCTTTAAAACCTGAACTCCCTAATATCTAGAAACTGGGAATGAGAAAAATACTCTAAATGTAGGAGGATCATTACAAAATAATTTATATTACATTGAGGTTCTTATTATTACAGGCATTACACCTTTGGCCATACCAGGGGAAAGAAATGTTAGTATTTTGTGTGTGGAGAAAAAAAAAGGATATATATATATATATAGTTAAAGGCAGAATAGATTAATGTATGTATCTTGTTTCTCCTCACATTTACTCCTGTAATCCTGTTCATTTTAAAACCACAATATTGAAGTTAAAACTATTGTTGGGAGACAGCTTAGATGACCCTGAAGTTTCTTGCATTAAATTTCCGTAGACTGAATACCTGTTTCCTCAAGCATTCTAACTAGTGATCATAGGATAGGATCTCACAGGGCTAGTGAAACTCACCCACCATAATCCTTTACTTCAAAGCTGAGAAAGAAAAATGCTTGACAAGCACAGTCTGGCCATCCACACAATCTGTAGAAGTGAATCAGTTCTTACTTTCTCAGCAGTTGTGAAAGGCACAATACTTTAGTGAATGAAGGGGGATAAAGTCTTCCATCTGTGAGTTTCTGATCGGTAAGCTGTCACAGCAGGAAAGAAAGTAATTTACAATGATGCTTTCAAGCATGTGCCACATTCAGTGAGCTCAGAGACAACACCTGCTGAACCAAGAGTGGCTGCAGTACTGGGAGAAGTTCTTAATCTACACTCCTGAATTATTCAACCCCCATATAATTACGTATTTTTTATTTACAGCCTTAATGGTTGGAGCTGGGGCAAGAGCAGCCACAGCGCTTATGCTGGACTTAGTGATCCCACCCACATGGTCTAGTCTGGTGTGTCTGGCTTCCTGAAGCCCAAACAACAATCCCACCAGCATATGGAATAACTTGAATGTAGCTTTAGTCAGAACAGAAGTAGCTTGTTGTAACTAGAGGAGAGCAGCAGAGTGCCAGTCTGTGCCCAAACAAGGCCCTTGGGTTTTAATACCTTTAGTTCTGTAACTCATTCTTCACCAAACCATGTCAGATAGTGAGGGCCATAGGAAGTTGCAACAAGGAGTAGAGACATGAGGATTATTTCATAGAGGGCAGCTCTAGCCAGTCAGATGAAGAAGTTGTAGATGGTACCTCAATTTTTATAAATAAATCACTCCTTTGTTAATTAAATTGTACTGATAGAATGAGTCTGTTACATCCTGTAGACACATTCCCTAACTCCTGATGCCTTGCAATGGCCTATGAAGTGTTAATTATTTCCAAGGCAGCCAGATACTTCCTTAGAAGTGTGAGAAGCTGAGCAATGACCACTCCCAGCTTCCATTTGGTCCCTCTTGTCTCTTCTGATCCACTTCTGTCACCAGCTATGTGAGGCATCTGCCACATGTGTGACAAAACTACCACATCCAACAGCAGAATTTGACAGGTCACACAGAATGATCCTAATGACCCATTCTGATGAGGGAGTTCAGCCTGGGCCTCTGCTAACTGCCCTCATTGCTGCTTCTCCACAAACATTTGGCCTACAAATGTGTCTTTAAGAAAATTAAGCCTTTAGTCAAGCAGGCAACCCAAATTTTTCAGGGCTTGGGTCTGTGCCACGGCTTCTAGAAAATCACCTTGAGTTTTGTGCTATAAATTACCGGGGGGTGAATTAGTTTTACTTTTCAAAAGCTGTTCTTACACAGCCTTCCTTGGTTTCATCAGTCTGTTTTCCTCCTCTTCTGGGCCCCAGGTCGAGCTCATTCCCTTTATTCCTTGTGGCCCTCTGCTTTTATGCAAGGGAAGAGACCATTTTAAGCTAAGGCAGAAATGACATAGCGTATCATTGAGCAGGTTCAAAGGACTGAGTTTCCATTCTCAGGAGAAGTGTACCTAAGGCTGACTTGACTTGATAAAGGACTCCTTAAAGGCTTCATCTCCCAGTCAATGAAAGTAGAAACATTTATTTTCATGCCAATGATTTGGGACCAAGTCTTAGTCCTTGGTTACAGAAAGGACTTAAAAAAGCAAGATCTATTGTTCAACATCGTACTTCTGATCAAGCTAATCCAGTGAACAGAAGGGCCAGCTGGAGCTCACCTATGAGATACCTGGGCACATGTGGCTGAAGCCATTGCACTAGCAGAAACTGCACTCATCATGAGAACCACTCAGACCACCCCAAAATCTTTTGAGTTTATGAGCAAATGACAGCCCTTGGTGCCAGTAACCTAGACAGCACTATCAGACACCCCACACAGGTTTTTAAGAGAAACAAGATTTTACTCTCTTATTACTGGAAATAATTCTTCTAGCACAGCCAAAGCTCCCAAAGATTCCTCTTCATTACACTTTCATACAGGAAAAGTTAAAGACAGATACTCCAAGATAAAACTCAATAGTGTTTTACAGTCAAAGAGGGAAATACTGCTGTACCATTTATATGAGTTTGGAACAGGACTATTGGTTGTCCACAAAAATGGAAGAACTCACAGTGCAAGTACCAGCAGGAAAACCATTAGCATATTCACAGTTGCCTGATCACCCTTCAAATGAGGTAAAGAATGAAAAACTGCACTTGGTTTGTGTACAACACCCCAAAGCACCACACAAGTATGACACAGTGCTGCCATTTTTCATCTTGTAATTTTTTCCACTTTAAATGCAGTTTTAAAGAAGTATTTCTACATGCAACACTGATTTCTTGTTGCAGCCAAGCACTTCAATTAAATAAACCAACATGCAGACTAGTAATTTTCATTGATTTTAATTTTAAATACTGTTTAAGAGTAATATAAAAGTTACTAGTTTTGTCTATTGAGACTAATTGTTGTTTGGATTTTTCCCCTCCTCTCCCCGGAAAATCTTCAGTGGAGTTATTTGATGCATCTTTCAGATAACACTTTAGGAACAACTCCAAATGACAGAATTTAAACTTATGTTTTCCAAAAGAGAGGATTCTGTGTCAGACGTCTCTGGAAGTTTTCATACCTAGAAATATAAAAAAACAACCAAAAAATAACAGCTGCTGCATATAAAATTGTATTTCTAAAAAAGGGTCTAAATTAGTCTATGCAGAGAACATGACAAATTACATCTATTTCACATCAGGAAATCAGTAAATCCCAAATCCATTTACATATCTAGAATATTTGCAGTTAGACTTGTGTATTTCAACAAGATGAATTTTGTTAAAGCAGTATCCCAGAGGAGACTCATTCAAGCTTAGTGAAACTGTAAGTTAATTTAGACTGGATATGAGGAAAATTTTCTTCAATGAAGGGGTTGTCAAGCACTGGAAGTAGTGGAGTCACCTTGCTTGGCGGTGTTTAAAAGACGTGTGGACATATTTTATTGGCCCTGGGTTTGTGGTGCACTTGGCAGCAGGAGGTGAATGGTTGGATTCTATTTTAAAGGTCTGCTCCAACCTAAACAAGTCCATGAATTGTAAGTGGTTGTTTTAAGCATAACATTTTTTGGGCTAGGAAATCAGTCTGGGCGGGTAGAAGTATGAATCTGAGGCTGGATGGTAACGTTTTAGTAAAATCAAATGAGGAAATGTAACTCTCTAACACACAATGCAAACATATATGCACACATGCTGTCCTAGCTTCACTTTCCATACTCATAAAACCAAGCAAACCATAAACAAACTGAGCATCAGAATTCACTGTTGACACACAGTGAAGAAATAAGACAAAATATACAATTTCTGTGCCCTTTTAAAAGAAAAAGAAAAAATAGAGAAGCCTATAGGCTTTGAGCCACAGAAGTTAAAACCCCCCTTTTAATTCTTACAAACCCAAAATGTAAGGAATCTAAAGGAACTGCCAAGGAAACAAAGGAAACCAAAAAATGTTCTTCTATACCTCATAGTTCATAGCCCAGATCAAGTGAGAAAGGACTCAAGGGTTTTAAACCAATTCAGCCTCACCCAGGCCCTGACCAGTCACTCCAGAGACCCTATCCACATACAGTCCATGGAGTTTGTAGTTACCAACACTCCCAAACAAAACACGTGGCTCTCATCAACTGCTTGCATATTCATGAGATCTTACTAATGATAAAACTGTATTCAGAGAGTCTCAAATACTGATTTAAAAAGGGCTTAGGTTAATACTGCAGAGGCTAAATAAATAAATAAGGCCAAACTGATAGGAAAGACATTATCAGATAACCTAAAGGATTGCCTGCAGTTCACAATTTATCTCCAGACTACACAGGCTATCCCCAGACAGTTATTAAACCAGTCCCTGGAAAACAACTCCCAGAGGGATTTACGTATTTACGCTCAAGGATCTTGGTGACAGAACCAAGATGATTTTGTCACCTCTCACATACTTAAGTAAGGCAACTATGCTGGAACTATGTCTAGGAAGAGACCAAATAAAACAAATAGGCACAAACTGACAAGTATCAGTGTGCTCTGTCTTCCCACAACGCCCACAGCAAATGAGCATTTGCATTATCAGCAACAGTCTCACTGACCAGAATGACAATAGTTCAGTGCTTAGAAATGATGATCTAATGCCTAGGAAAAAAGAACCAGAGATCACCATTACCATTTCAGAACTACACTTGCAGGAATGAAAGCTTCAGAAGGATTTGGGGTCATCTGTGCCTGAGTAACAGCAAACGAGGAAGCAAAGTTATAGAAGTTATCCAACATCTTCTGAGTGAACTGAAAAAAAAAAAAAAAAGATATTTCAAGGAAGTTCTTTCTTCAATTTGAATTTTTGTGTGAAAGTTTAACAGATATACAGCTCCTACATGAAGTAATTTTAGTATTGTCATTTAAAACTCAGTGGGAAAGCAGATATAGTAGGTCCAGAGACAATGATCAAAACATCCTAAGCTTCACTCTTGCCCTCAGATCCATCCAACATCCAGAAATCACTTTAAGAATCTTCACTTGTCCTCCCTCTGCTAAACTTCATCCAACTGGACAAACAGCTTTGGGAAGAACATTTTCTGTTTGTGACAAAGACGTGATGCAGTGACAAGAACTGTCCCTCTCCTCCAACCTGAATAATCAGAAGAACTCCAGACTGGGCCAAAGCTGCCATTCCAGCTCCCAGAAAACCACTTGTTAAACGATTGGAAAAGTCTGCAATCTGTCTAGTTACAATTCATCAGACTCCACTGACAGGGCAATTTCCATTAGCATTCCCCACAGAAGGGCTGCTGTCCTGGCATCTTTTACTAGAAGATCTTGGGGGGAAAAAACCCCCTAAAGGATGCACAGGGCACTCCTAAACTATAGGACTAGGAAAGAAAAGAATGAAAGAGAGGCCAAGAAATAGCAAGCCCTGTGTGCAGAGGATGAGGTTGTAGGACATTCTCAGCCAGTCCACAAATATACAAGTCTACAGTACCTCCTTATTTCCCCTATTCTTTTTTTTTTTTTTTTTAAATAAAAATTATGCCTTGTTTTGATGGGAGAACAACAAGTTTTTATATAGAAAATTTCATAGACAGTGAAATGATTCAGGGAAACAGAGCCTGAGTTAATAAGTGCACAGTCTTGTGCTCCCCTCTCACAAAAGGAGTAGAAGAAATGATATCCCAGAACCCTACCCTCAGTCTCAGTGCATTCACATGCAGAACTCCATGGTTTTGTCCTACTTCTTTTTTATATACAAGTTTATATACATAAAAATACATACTTCATTTATTTATAAAAATATATACTTTATATACATAAAAAAGACATTCAATAAATCTTCATAAAACCTACTAAGAATGTCATAGGAGAGGAGAGCAACTCCTTAACTTAGGGTAGCAATAGATGATTTTGCCATTAAAAAATACTTTTATTGCTATAATGTAGCAGTTTCAAAGAGCTGATGTCAAATATTAAATGAAAGCCATTAGTTATTCACAAATAAGCTCCCAGTCATATATGCCCTTCCTCTGCAATCTACTCCATCAAAGGCTTCCTTCCACTTTGACCTCACACCTTTTCTCTGTAGGAGTAAGTAGTACTCTACCCCTTGGGTCAACTGCATTCCTTGAAGGCAATTACAGTTTCAGTTAAGATGCTCAGAGTTAGATGCTGGTCTTTTTTAACAGAAAAATTCACTTAACTGAAAATAATGTTTGTAAAAATGTTATGCAATCATGAGGTGTTTTCTTTTTTCTTTCAATAGTACTGCCAGAAAAATCCACGAGCCACCTTGCAAATGACCTGTTGTGGCATGTTATTCTTCTTAACTACTGCTATAATAAAAATTGGTAAACTGCCAAAGAACATCAGCTACAGTATCAGGATTACTGTACAATTACCAGTCTCAGCAAACACCTGGAAGGAAAGTGAGAACTTAAAGAAGGTCTGAAGAAAAGCCTCACTAACTGCTGAAATGTTAAAAGAAAATGCCAGAGCCATCAGTGTTAGGGAAATCAAGACCCGCTATGCAGGTCTAGCTTGCCTTGGACTGTTGTTAGACTGCCAACTAGCTGCCAGAGCTGGTTGATGATTTCCAGAGGTTCAAACTAATGAACAGGCTGGGTTAAAAAATGGCACATATTAAAAAAGATCCACAGAGAAGGCATTGGGGAAAAACAAATAAAAATCTTTTGGTGGGCGAGGGCATAATTCTGTAGTTCTGCAGAGCTACATCAGAAGGATTTCTCCAGGGGAAGTGGTACACCTGAATATCCATCCCCCTGCATCCATGCCCACATTTGCCTTAACTTGTGAGTAATTTTTGACCATCCCTGCAAACCTACGTACTGAAGTTTCAGCACCTACAAATCACCAAAGATCTACTCTCTCTTACATTTATTTAGTCATAACTGCTCCATATAAGTATCATAATACTTATGTATTATGTATCATAAATAATTTTACAGTACAGTGACACTGACACAAGTGAATCTCTTGGCCTCATGTCACTGACCATGCAAATTCCAGTCTTTCACAGGAGATAGTTTTTCAGTGTAAGAAAAAGCAATTTCATAGTATCAAAGCATCCAACCGAATGATCTGACAATTACTAGGTTGGTTACAATCCTACTGCCACCCGCAGCAGCAACCCCTGCCCACTCCCCAATTGGTGCTCTAGAGGCTCAATTCTTGAGACTTCCATAGAGCAGAGAATTTCTGAAAACGGAATGTCCAGGCTACCTCTGTGAATGAATCTACTGATGACACAGCAGCACTTGCAACAGGAGTCTGCTGGGCCAGGTTCTCCAGCAGTTCCACTGAGATTCCAATCTGAGCCACTGTTGGAGTCTGTGGGAGGTTCATGGCACCAAAGGGATGTTGACTTCCCTTCCCTGAAAGCACCACGAACAGCACACATTAGGTTTGGCACACACGTAAAGGCTGTGTAACTTAAACCACCGTGTTCCTCCTGTAGAAGGTATTCCCCAGCTCCCACCAGAGGGATCTCCCTATCTCAGGGATTACAGAAAAACCACACTCCAAGCACAGGCACAAGTACACACAAGCACAACAGATGGAACAGTGTGATGGGTACATTTAAAAAGCACAACAGATCATAAGGAAATTTCTAAAAAACAGAAAAATGTCATTTACAGCTGCCTATGAAGTAAATGGATTCAAGGCAGAATACAATCAGTGAGTGAAAAACAGCAGAACCCTTCTCTAGAGGAACTAAGCTTTTAATTTATATTTTGGCAATTGCAGATAAACAGGAAACACACAGCACTGCTGCAGTTGATTGATTCATTCATTAAAGCCAGGTTCTAGTGAACCTGCTCTGAAAAAGCAGAGAGCTCTAATTTATGATCCCTCTGACTCAGGGAGGGCTGGGAAGCCCCAAGTCTCATCTGAACTGCTCTAACCCACCAAAAGGAGCAAACGTTAAAGAAATAGTCAGAGAACAGAAAGGCCTCTCACTTTGTAAGTGCCACAAAGAAAACAAGGAATCATCTCCAAACTGCATGCCACAAACACAGGCATCATCCCAGCCCTCTGCCCTCACTTCTGACCTTTCTCAACCCATACTTTCAGTGCCAGCTTCAGCCAAGGTCTCTGCAAACAAGGACAGACACTCAGAGTCACTTAAATCATGTACTCTTCTGTCAGCATCTCTAAAGGAAAATGCAGGAAAATGTCTGTGGGATCACGGTGCTATCAGTAAACAAACACTAATACTGCACCTGTGTTTGTGGGAACACAATAGCCAAGTACCCTCTTAACACAGGGGCAATGTTTCACCAGCACTCTGGCCTTTTACTAGGAGGAGAAAGCAAAGCTAATCAAGAGCTGTCCTGCAGACCAGTCAGCACTATCTTGAGCTGCAAGAAATGCTAATGGAGATCAAAAGCACCATCTGACTTAGTCAAAAACTCGGCCAGCAAAAAGAATCTGACAAGTTGAACTGAGATCAAGACTGAAGACCTCAGGAACTTGACCATTCCTCTGCAGAGACACAAGGCACAAAGAAGCAAACAGCCAACCTATACAGAAATTACACTCACAAACTCACCACCCTTTTCAATGGAAGTGCTACTCCTCACTCCAGATCCTACAACTGTAATATAGTGCTACCTTATAAGTAAAGCACACCTATTAAAATGTTACTTTAACACAAGGTAAGGAGGAGAAGAGTTCACCTCCTGAAATGCTATTTAGAACCTCTCCAGAGAAATGTCATTGCTGTATGAACTCAGCATTTGCTGTTCATAGATTCTTGCTTGATACAAGCTATCAGAAACTAAGTATCAAGTTCATTATTACAGAATCCCAACAGCAACAGAGCTGGTACAAATTTTGCATCTTGTAACATCTTCACCTGAGAAGCTGACATTTCAATAAAAATGTAACATCCCCAAGCAACAGGTTCTGTTACAATGTATGATTACTTTAGACAGGCACAATCCAAATAATAAAGCACATACATTCCATTCACTTTCCATGAACTCCCACAGAACCATGGCCTTGGAAAGATGTCTGCCCTAAAAGTGTGAAATAAAAGCATCCACTGTCATCCTTACACCAGGAGAAATACACTCCATGATTTCCATGCTTGGCTCTTGCAATTAGCATTCCAAACTGTACAAACGCAGAAAATGTTAATCAGTACTGAAATACAAGCTCAGGTTTTTGCACTCAGACCCTACACTCTCCAACACATTACATCACTGCAGAGCAACTGCTATCAGAAATTATTATTCCACCCATTTCTTTCCCTTTGTTGACCCCTTAATTCAATGATTGAGCCCTCAATATCTTTCAGCCCAATAACAACAAAACCCTTACACATGTGAAGGCCTCAAATATAGACATAATATTAGAGCATAAACAGCTTCACAGCAGAAAAGCCTGTCATGGAAAAGGCTGTAACTCTTATCTCACTTGTGAACATACTTACAGTAAGGGTGCAAAATACAAGTCCAAAGTTTGTTTTCTATTTCTACACCTTCAGGCACAACTGAAAACCAGAAAACCTTACCATTCCAAGGCAGGGAGCATTTCTAAGCCCCTTCTTTATGCACAAACAAATGAAACTCTGCTACAACCACTGCTTCCCAGGGACACAACACTACTGACAGGGACACATCTCTGGTCCTCTCAACCAGGTATTGAACCCAAAATGCAGAGCTCAGGTATCAGTAATGTCTCTCAATGATTCCAGCTCTGTTATATAGTCTTTTCCACCTTAACATTGTTTATGGCCACAAAATTTAGATTGCGTAGCCGTAGACTGAGTCCACAGTAAGATCTAAGCTGCAGACAATGGGAATGGCAGAGCTCTCTGCTGCTCAAATCAAGCACAACAGTGCCTCAAGGCACTGCAAATGGGTTCAGCTATGTCACCGAGTTCTTCCTTGAGAGCAGCCCTTACTGGGAAATCATGGCTAATCATGCAAAAAGCATCTGAAAATGCATCTTCCTCCAAAGCTGTCTAAGAGCACACACCAGTGAGTCTTTCAAGCATGAGAAACATATGCCAAAAGCACTGGTGATACGCTTTTCTCTTGCACACAGCTTTGGGATACACAAAACCACGTCCCCCCAAACCCTTCTCGCAGTTGCTCCCTCTTCTGAAGAAAGCCCAGATTTTTGAGGAATGTGTGTGATCTGAACTCATTTTGCTCTACAGCTTGAGAGCCCTTATCTCAACCATACTGCCACATCCAGGACTAACTCAACAGAAAGTGTGCCACGTTATGAATGAATGTATTTTAACAGAGCATCCTCAATGCCTAATTAAAAAGAGATTCAAGTCAAAAATCTAGACTACACCCAAGCCTACAAAAGCTGTGTACTACTTTATCACTGTAACACTTTAAGTTGCTTGACCGATGTATCTGTCCCTTTCATAAGACAAAGGTGTGCCAATGGAATGTCTCATCATTTTTATAATGCACACAGCAAATCCCACATGTATTTAGGAAAACATGTGCACATACATCCTACTCAATGTACCAAAAGTACTAAAACATTTCAAAAGCTGTTTTCCAATGGGCTGTTTTCCGCCCTCTATTGGACAATTCTATAGAGCAACTGCCCCTGGCTGGGGAGTGCTAGCTGTCAGAAATCACTGCCAGGCTCTACTCCCTGCAAAACTTGTCTGTGCTACAGAGAACACAACTGTTTAGCAGAGGAAGCTGAAAGAAAACACTGCTGGCATGTCTAGACAAACACCTAAAAACATGTTAGGGAAGTTACAGGATCATTTTTCCTCTATACAGAGGACAAAACCACATCAAGTCTGCTTAAAAGAATTTCCAGATCAACACCATGCACAAGAGAAGATGAGAGAGAAATTTCACAAGGAACAGTAACACAGAGACAGACTTCCATGAAGCTGACAGGCTGCTTCTAGCACTGTCTAAAACACAGAGTGTGCTGCCTTTTTAAGTAGTTTTTTGTTCAAAGCAACCTTCATACATTTATCCCTTATGCATTCCGGAACACATCTGTTGCACCGATTGCTATGTTCTAGTCTTACCAGATTTCAGACCAGAAATTTTGAAGATGGCACTTGGCTTCTCATTAGTGACAAAGCCCAGCAGCTGCCACACTGCCATCCCACTCTGGTCTGGATAACAAAAATAGACAGATCCTCCCATTCCATCTGGAAATGGTATAGTTCCCAGCATGAAGACCACTACATGGTTGATGTTTTCATAGTCTGGTAAATCAAATACAAACTTGTCTTCTGCCACTTGTTGAGGTGCAGCTTGTACCTAAAGAGAACAAAACCTTTATTAGTATTAACATGTTTTTCATCTTCATCTGTCTGTGAATTTCCTTTTACAGAAACACACCTAAAGTGGTACATAACAAAAAGTGAGGAACGTACTAGCCTAAAGAGCAAATAGCCAGATAAAAGTCAAACACAGCAGAAGAACAACTGCAAAAAATATTACCAGAAAGACACAACAGCCTTGTTCTACCTGCACTGAACACATATCCCACCCGGGACTACAGGATCAGAATACCTTCGCTCCCCATGTGCGTAGGAGGAAAATAGGGTGCAGAAGAGGTTGCCAAGTCACTAAGAAGTGGCTGTTGACCACCTGGCTGGCACAACCCCAGGATCATGGAAACCTGTTCACATAGGAAATACAATAGACCTTGAGAAAGGCAGCAGAAGGATGGCTGAATGCCAGAGCAAAAGATACCCTCCTCTTTACCCGAGATGCCACATCCTTGCAGCCAAGGCACAATCTAGCCTTAAAAAGCTTCTTTTAAGCTCCCAGCTTGTCTCTGAGGAGACAACATTGACAGAGGGATGGCAAGCGCCTCCCGGCAAGGACGCTCGACAAGGCAAGCTGCCTGTGGGGACGCGGGGCAGGAGCCAGCCGAGCGCCGGGCAGGCGGGGGCCC